TAAACGATAAGTTATTTTCCTTCTGTCTACTACAGCCACAAATAGAAAATAGTTTCTGTCCCATAGAGCAGCTTGTTTCCTAATGGAATGCTTTTCTGATCGCCACGGGGCGTTATATCTTAATTTAAATACCTAACTTTTTATGGGAAGAGTTACATTTTTTATATTAAAGCTTACAAGAGATGCAGTCCAGTGCTCAGTTCCCACTGTACAACCACAGAATAAATTTCCCCTTTTGTTCCATCCATAATAAAGCTATCAGTCAGTTGATTTTATAATGTGGTATTTTAATGATGATTTGCTATATTCAGCATAACCTTCACCAGCAGGAAACGTTCAGGGCCTCTCTTGTATACACCTTGCAAAAAGAACCCTTGTTTTGTTGAAACCTCTACCTTTTTACATCTGTTCTGCTTTAACTCCCATATCATAAGTGGAAGTTATTTTGCTTCTTACTGAAGAACGTCAGGAAGATATCTTTGGGGACTAACCTCATTTTGCTGTATTATGGTGTTTATGTGTCTGGCACTTAGGGCCAAATGTTGTGATAGTCTGTACTCTGCACTTCAGTGTACACTCTCAAAATCAGAACTGGCCTTTTGGTATAGAAAAATGAAAAGTGAAGAACTTTGCAAGGTGGACTCAGTCACACTGTTCAGTGGGTCATGATGTGTTCTGCATGCTCACCTAGGGGAGTGTTGTCATTAGGACAGTGAGGCCAGTGATGTCTATCTCACTTTTCAGTATTTGTATTCTTTCTAGAAAATCTTACTTCATTTGTTCTTCTACGTTATAATACTGGCTGCATTTTAAGAAGAGTCTTGGGTTGAAACCTTGAGATATTCAGAGCCCACCTGGATGATGTCCTGTGCAACCTGGTCTAGGTGAACCTGCTTTAGCAGGGGGGTTGGACTAGATGATCTCCCGAGGTCCCTTCCAACCCTTGCCATTCTCTGATTCTGTGTGATTTTGTGAAACCTGATGATCCTCACTGTGCATAAGGGTGACAGTGTCTAGCTCAATATGATCTTGCTGCAAATTTAGGTGGCATATTCAGCTTTTCTAATAACATGTTTCATTTTCATTATTCTGCTTAGCCACAAATGGGATTTAATTTGCTAGGCTATTTTAGCTTCCTCTTTGTTTTCCCTCTGTAAAGACACCATTTGGGGCATGTAATTAGAAAAAAATAAGAGTTTAGTACTTGTTTGGATTAAAGCACTCTACTTTTTGATGAAATTTGTCCTAGAATCTGGCAATAAAAACACAATGCTTTATTAAGTCAGCAGTAAAGCATGAGAGGAAAATGTTCAGGTGATTATCCATTGGAAGCTAAGTAAATAACTGAGCAGACAGCGAAGTGCTGCACTGTTGCTCAGTTTAGTTTTATGCTGTTCTAACTCTCTTAAGCTGAGTGGTGTAACAAAATTTAAAAGGAGGAATAAAGCCTGTGGTGCCTCTGGCCTAAGAGTGCTCCAGGACTTTGCCTTAATTTTAATTTCATGTGAATTGCTACAATGCCAAGAGTGAATCCAATGAACTGATGTCCACATTGTCACTGCAGTTCTCATTGACTCCGGTATGAATTGTCTGATGCCAGTGTAAGAAGAATTAGACTCAGCAAAATCAGACTTCTCTAAGACTGGTGTAGTAAACCTGAGAGTCAGGTAATTTGTATTTCTAAGGACAATATTTTTAAACAGCATTGTATGAGTGAGATTTAGATATCTGTTCTGTGGAAAATGCCTACATATTATTATCATTGTAACATGCTTCCTGCGAATCATTTCTGATTTTTATTGGGATGTCTTGGATCTAGCATTCCGAAACAGGAAACACAGGATAGGTTGCAATGAAATAAAGTTACCAAGAAGTACATTAAGGTTTGCACTAGCTTCTCTGTATTGTGTCTAGGGCTCTGCTTTGGAAGAGAGCACCTAGAACAGTTTACATCTACACAGGCAATTATGCAAAGCAAGGGTGTATTGACACTCACACACTAGCATACCTTGCATGACCTTCTCGTGTTGGTGATCATTGAGACAGAAGGAATTTGAGTCCTAATACTAACTTTGTAAAATAAATGCTACCTAGAGGGATGTCAATATCAAGTCCAGGGGAGTGGGCTGAGACAGAAGGTCATAAAATGGAAAAATTGTTCTTAAAAAACATCAGAAATTCTCAACAGCATATAATGATGCTTTAGCATTTTCCATACAGGTCTTTAAAATCTGTTTTTCCTCTCAAGGCAAAAGGCAGGTAGCATAAAAGGATTTGCATACAAGTTTGCAGAGATGGTATCTGTGTTTGAAATAAGGAAGATGCACTGCAGACTGATTTGCTCTCTGGAAGACTGCTGGGAGGAAGAGGAGGGTAAAAAACCCACACTCTTAGTTTATACAGCTAGAATCATTAAGGGATGCTATGCAAGGACCTTGAATACAGTAATGGTCAATGTTTGCTTTCACAGTCTGCGGAGAGCTCTGGGCTACGTAAGGACTACTGAAACAGGTACCTTGTCTACTACCACCAGCCCAAGATAAAGCCTGTGCTGCTGAGCTGTGAGGCTTTCTCCTAGGTTTCTGCTCTGAGGCAGTTATTTGTGTGATTTCCAGGCTCAGGAGATCATCTACGAGCATAAAGCGGCAGAAGTGTCGAGGCTGTGCCGTGAGCCTCGCGCCGCTCGGTGCCGCATCAGCCAGGTTGAGTCACTGGGTCTCTGGCGTTGTCCCCCAGCACGTGTGCTGCTGGCCTCCTCTGCCAGGGAGCCGCGTCCGCGGTGCCCCTTCGATCAGATTTCCTTATCAAAACTGAAATTAAAGAGCAATAAACCAGCCATATTTCTGTAGTGGCCTTCAAACGTGTTTCTGCATCTTAACAACACCGTTGTGGGCAGCATTACATTTACTGTGCTGGCAGGTGAATAGAGGTATGGAGAGGCTGAGCAGGTCACCAAAGTAACAGTGAACACGACAGAGTCAAGGACAAGTCTAAAGGAGTTATAACTCTAAAAAATGCTGGGGAACTAATTAATCTTTAACTAGCTTATTTCCACTAGTGTCAATAAAGCTGAGATGGCTTACTCTACTGTAAGTTTTCCCTTAGAAGTGCCAAATTGTGCTAATAGTTGCCATTAAATTCATATCCTGATTCAAATTCACAGCAGAAGAACACCACTGATAAAAGAACTGGAGTATATATATCTCTGTCTTTCAGCAGCTGTCTTCTCTCCCACAAAGCATTTGGTGATGCCTACGATGAACTGTCTTCAGTTAGGCCTTTGAAATAGTTGCCAACTATCATAAAATTCCTGCCTGTGTTGCTGGTGCAAGATCAGTCTTTCTATCAAGTCTGCCGCACAACTGCTTTCTGGCTGGTAGACACTTTTTCCCAGGGTTCATCCATTGTGAGTTTGGTTTGTTTTTTTTTTTTTCTTGGCTACATTTAAAAAGCCTGGGCCTATGGGCAAAGCTTCCACTAAAAGGGGAATGGGTATGATCAGGAATGTGACTCCTCTGCATTTTCCTATAGCTGTTGTAGTTCTGCCTTTAAAATATGTCTGTGTAGGACATGGAGCTTAGCTTTTTTTTGGACTGATTGTTTTTATGTCTCTTTCAAACTGACAACTATATATATATTTAATGGTAGGTTTTTTCAGATTCTCATGGACTTTGTATTTTTTCAATGAAAAAGAAAGAAACAAATGTAGAGATCCTGTTTGTTTTTCAAGTCCAGACTAGGAAGTCTAGAAAGAAAGAATATATCAGAAAAAAGCTGTGATGAAGAACATTTCTAAAGGCAAATGTTTTGAATAACCTGCACACTGCATGTGTAAAACTAAATAGGATCCTTTCAGTGTATGTGGCCTGGTAATAAATCACGCGGGCACCTCCTCTTGTTCTGTTTGCAAGAGCACTCCCTGAAACAAGGAGACTGATTGTTCTCCTGAGTTTATTCCAGCTCATGCTAATATTGTATGCTTTAAAAATAAATCTGTTCTTCCATTTGGAGCTAAGCTATACACTCCCCAAAAGTCAGAGGGTGTTCTGCTTAAGGAATTAATTAGGTATTTGTTTGACAATATTGCATGGAACTTTTTTTTCCCGAAGACATTGCACATCTATGCTCAGTATCCCCAGAAGGAACTTGCATAACCAATGATTTCCATGCTCCAGTAATAAAAGTTTGGACATGGGAGTATTCTTTGATGGCACTGCAGACCCTAATTGCTGAAAAAAAGGGTTGAAGCTCCCCTGTACAGTGTATCAATACAGAATGATTTTTTTTTTTTTTTTAATACTTGAAAGCTTTCATGACTGAGCTAGAGAAAACTGAGCTGGGGAGTATAGCGTAAGCCTTTGGATGAGGTGTTGCAGGCAGGGAAAGACTGGGTTAGCATCTTTGAGATTGTAGGTAACAACTTCCATTCTAGACAGAAACAGAATCACTGCTCTTAACAATTTACTTGTCTGCCTTTTTGGACAGAGCTTACTGTAATGAAGCCAACAACATGCAAAGTGGATGAAGAAATTGGAATTTTTTTTCCACTTTCTTTGTTGTGTGTAAGGGAGTGCTAAGGCACAGATGTGCATTGCTGCAGTTGTTACCCAGGATTTAAGATGAGTGCAAGAAACGAGGTGGAGGCTCCTCTGGTCTGTGTACCCGCAGCTTTAAGTGTTGTGGTTTGTATTGCACATGCCGGATGTTACAGTTGCCATCCTGTGTAGCTTACTGAGAAAGAACCCAATTGCTGAGTGTGACAAAATGTACTGTGGGACACAGCCAAACCTCTGAGCGGTCTTCCCACCATCACTGTCATTCTTTTATGTCCAGAGGGAGGATGGCATGCTGTCCAGATGTGCTTGCATCTGTTTTCTTTTTTTCCAAGCAAGATATCAAACAAAATCTATTGCCAGCTGCATTGTTCTGCTTCAGCAGCTGAGGAGAGATGGTGCATAAAACCAGCAATGAGTGAATGAGATTTATATCTACAAAAGCAAGAATGGGATAGCTTCTTCTTCCTACTCAGGTAAATCTCTTTCCTGGCATGAAGCTCAAGATTTTCAGAGAGCAAGGAACCCACATCCCCCTACCAGGCATCCCAGAGGTTTGAGTATATTCCCTGAAAATCACTAAAAGAAATAGGAATCCTCCATTAACTTTAGTATGGTTTGGTTCAGGTTCAAAAGCGTAGAGTCTTAGAAGAAGAGAGGAGATCTGGGTTCTGTCTCAACTTGTCTAACCTTTAGCAAGTCACACATGTTAGAACCCTGAGGCTCTAGGTGAATGTGTAGTTCTGGAGAACTGTACCCAAGGGGAACACGCTCTGCTCACACGTGTAGGAGGATGCACGGTGTATGGTCTTCTGCACCTGATCGTCTCAGTTGGTTGGCATGGAATAATAGGGGCCTTTGTTCAAGTCCCTTTCTGCTTCCTTTGGAAAAGCTACTGCTTGCAAAGAACTCACTTTGTGTAACTTCAGTGATGGATTTTTTCTTAAAGTACAATATGATAGTTATCATGCAGCTGGGTCAGAAGAGAAATCAACCACTTGCTGGGTCATGCAGAGGCATGATGCACCTTAGAGGGCAGGACCATACTAGCCCAGGACAGCATAATTTGAATCTATTTTACTCCTATAATATTTTAAATTATAACAACTGCCCCAAGTCCCAAGCAGTTTTCATTACAAACATCAGTTCTGGTTGTTGTGATATCCAGTTACTTTTCCTGTCTGTAGCCTTTTTATTGGCTGTGGAAAAGGGCTCTGGAGGCCCCCTGCTCAAGGGGAAAGCACCCAGTGATAGCTGAGTGAGCTTTAAGATAGTTTGGGTCAGGCTAAGTAACCAAACAGCTTTTCATTAAGACTTTTAGTGTTATCGTCTCAGACAAGCACATGAGATCATGGCACCATCTCTTGTGTACATGACCCAGCACTAGGAAGCTGCACATATCACACGGCCCAAGCACTTCGGCACTTGAGCCTCCACCTGCTGTAATGGTTGAGCGTAAGAAAGATCTTCCAAGGCAGCGTCTTGCTCCTCTGAAATCTGAGGTGAAACTGTTACAAGCATGAGCTGAAGCATATAAAGTAGATCACAGAGCAAAAGCATCCTTGTAAAAACCATCCATCTTGTCCTCTCTTCATCCTCTGAATGAACCTATGGAAGTCTGTAAGAGCAAAGAATGACAGTCTTAGAGCTCATCAGGTCTGGACTAAGGCAGACTCAGACTTGCAATAGTTTGCATCAGCTCAGAGGTTCCACAGGCCCTAGCAAACTCTTTTGAAACAGCAGTTGGTTTTTCCCCCATGTTTGTTTTTCCTGTTGTTTTGAAGTGTGAATCAAGGCTGTACCTATTTCTCCACTCGTAACCAATCCAGAGAGAAATCCACAAAACCCAGCAGCTGAGCAGAGTGACCACAATGAGGACACGATGTTTGCTGTCTGCTGACCTTTATCCTGACTGCCCATCACTGATGCACCTCCCGCAACATTATTAAAACAGCTTTGGTTTATTAAAACCAAAGCTACTCCGTCATAAATAACATTTTGTTCATTTCAGCACTTTTAATTGCACAATAGTACAAGTTTGTGCCCCTCAAAGATTTGAGGTTTGAGTGTACGCATGGCAAACTTGCTTTTGGGGAGGTTTTTTTTCCTTGTATATTAAAATCAAGTAAGAGAAAGTATCGTTCTTCATGAGGTCCTGTCCTTATCTTTAGAAGTTAATAGCTCCCATTAAAATTTCCCTCTTTCTGTTTTCCTGGTGTATGCTCCTTTAAGATCAGAATAAGAAGTTGTGAAACTGGAGTTAGGACATACACATGCATTTAAAAAGAACAAAGGTGGCATTCATTCAACTTGTTCGTGGTGTTTGCTTTCTTACTTTCTTACTTTTTTATGAATCTCTCTTTTTGAGTCTTTATCCCACATTTCATGCTTCTCTTTGGTTACAGGTTGCTTGGTATAGGTATAGCAAATTCAGCTGTTAAAAAACCATGAATATGTCACACACACGCACACACACACACACACACACACACAGACTTTTATGACTGGTTGCAGTAAAATAAAAATGTCAATTCAAGCTGCAGGGAGATCAAGGTTGAAAATCTCTCGCAAGGAGCAAGAATTAAGTGCACTGTGAGACAGCCCTTCTTCTAAAGCTTCCATCCAGTGTAGGACCAGACTGGACTCCTGCCTTCCTTCAGACCTATGTCAGCGCCGCAGCCCTTGCTAGCCAGGCATCTCACTTTTCCTGCTGCAGACACCACCTCATGCACTAAAACTACTCAGATATTCACCTGAGGCTTGCCCAGCATTAGTCATGGTTTCAGGACCATGCCCTAGTAAGAAGGTTAGTTTTAAAAGCCCGGTTGTGCCTGTTTCTAGGTGAATGGAAAGGAAAGAGGGAGTGCAGGTGGGCTGCCGCTGCCGCCGCTGCCGTCGCTGCCGCTCTCTCGTGTGGTACCATGGCGTCTCGCAGCCCGTGCCAGGGGACACAACGGGGAAGACACTGGCTGCAGGGGAAAACAGACCTTACCACTGTCCGGGGGCAATACAGTTGCAGTGCTTCTGTAAGACCTTTCTGCAGTGCCCTAGCGAAGGATTTCAGGAATAAGCTCTCCCGCCCCAATAGCATCTCACACAGGGGTGATGTAAAAAGGCTGAATATTTGCTTGTTGTAAATGGCAACGGACAAGAAATGTCTGGTTATGAATTCTCTTTCCTTCACATATCTGTGATACATGTTTTCTTCATACCATTGGGCTGGAGTCTCTGTGTTACTGTGGAACACATGCTGAAGCCATGGGCAAATGAGAGACACAGAGGCAGGGGATGTTCTGGCCAAATTCCACTTTAAGCTTTATGTTAAGTTCCATTTTCACGGCACCATTCACACTACATTGAGAAAAAAGCATTTAATGTGTGAATGTTTCTATTGTAAAGGTTTATCTCTGGAAGTTTTTTCCCCTTCTACATTGAAAGGAAGTAAAAGAAGCGTTTTGTATTTAAAAGAGCCGAACCCATGGCCTGTAGGATGGGCTGCTGGACATAAGGAGACGAACAAAAACAAACAGTGAATAGAGACATTGAGCTCTGGTTTTTTAAAACTCTGATTGTTTATGTTCAACACAGTTTTCCATATGAATTTCAAGTTGCTGGACTTACATCAGATAAAGCGTAGTAAATTTATTAGTATATGTTTAATTTTTAAGTCCTAATTCCTGTTGGGATTTTTGTTTTAAATTCATAACTAGTCTGTGGGTTAAATCTACTAAATAACATAGAATGGATACAGCATTTTATACAAGAAAACTCATAATCCAGTATAGTGACCATGAAATAGAACAGGGAGCTTAGTCAGGTTCTCCTGTTGTCTTTCTCTAAGTAGTCGTGGGACAGGAGAAATCAAAGTTTTGTTTTTCATTGCATCCCATTTGCTCTTTCTCACAACTGCTGTGTGGAGAGAGTTGAAGGACCCAGGTTACCATTATGTGGCTTGATAGCGTGTTTTTAGTGCCCTCTCCTTCAGTTGCCTATGGATTCTTTATTTTGCTTCAGCTAAGAGAGATGTGTGAAAGGAACTGCTCGCACAATGTCAGGGTCAAGCACGAATTAAAGGAGGCATGAGGAAGTTTGAACGTAAGGTTGCAGTTTTGTGTTGTCTAATTCTCTTGCAAATGAGTTTCCAACTTTCCTGTCCACGGTCAAATACAACTTGAATACAGATTTATTATGCACCGTTCTCCACCTCACGCTTCTGTGTAAAAATTCCTGTGACACTTTACTCTTCATGTGCAGCTTCAAAAGCTCTTTGAGAACCTGTAGAGCCCAAAGCATTTATGCATTTAAAGACTCTTTTCTAACATATACTATGTTAATACTCCTCCGCAATGAAAGATTTGCCCAGAAAAAAAAAAGTTGAAGATGTGCACATGTGACATTTTTTATTGTATTACATATAATTTGAGTTCTCCTGCTTGTCTTGTTTTCTTACAGATGATAAACATGCTTGTTGGTATACTTCAAAAATATTAGCATTAATTTTTATGTCTGTTCTCCTCATTTAATCTCGTTTAACAACTTCTAACATTATCTTTTTTAACATAACCATTTTTGGATTTAGGAATGCTAATATTAATCCTGACCAGTAGTGACACTAACTCTTAAGGCTGTTAAAACTTTTCCACTGTAGCTTTATTTTTAATTGCTTATAGATTTTGCTTTTGAGGGGAAAAAAAATCCTAGATTTTATGTGCAGCCATATATAGGGTTGCACATAATATATATTACATGTATATATATTTAGCAAGAACAAGCAAAATCAGCAGCTTTAATTTCTTTTTGCTTCAGTATGAAGATCCACAACACTTTGACCTTCATCATAATTCATGTGACCCCTAGTCAGGAATCTGAAGAGTAGAAGTTGTAAATCTGCTAATTTAATTTCTCACTGAGGATATACACTGAGGAGTGGTGCTACAAGCATGTCTCCTGGTAAATAGTGATGACCTGTTTGTTTTACTTTTGCATATTTGCATTTGGCAGACCTCCTGGGATTTTTCTTGCCTATATTTTATGCAAAGCGCGCATGAAGGGCACATATATATTGCTTTATTTGTGTTGGACAACTGATGATTCAAAGAGAAAATTGACATTGCACCAATAATGTTGTAAGTTGCAACTAAAATAAAACACAGGGTTTCCAGAATTCTAGGATGTTACATTTCTTTTGTCATAGAGATGCCCGGAGATGAAGGGTTTTAATAAAATCAGGGTAATTTTGTGCATCTGATTTTATAGCAGATGTTTAAACTGCCTGGAGAGTCTGGGTGATCAAGGAATGTGTAGACAGAGACCTTAAGGCATGCTTTCTTTTCCTCCTATGGCAGTCTAATCACTTCAGACTAAACTCAGATCTGAACTACCTTGGCTGAATTGTCAAACTGTCCGAATGTGGTATGCTGTTCTCTTGCCATAGTAGTTGTTATTTGGGTACCCAGATGGTTTCCCATTCTTAATA